AAAAAAAAAAAAAAAAAAAAAAAAAAAAAAAAAAAAGAAAAGAAAAGAAAAGAAAAAAAGAAAAGTAAGAAAAAAATCATAATAATCCCAAAAAAGCAAACCAGCAGGGAGTGGAGTGGAAAGGAGAGCAGTCCCTGTGGAAGTGCTCTCGCCCGCGGCTTCCCGGCGAGGTGGAGGTAGAGAGGCAGAGCCCCGGCAGGAGCAGGGACAGGCGGGGACAGGCGGGGACACGGCGGGAGGGCAGGGACAGGCCGGACACCCGGGCGAGCAGGGGCATCTGCAATACTCTTATATATTACCTCTTCTCAGGAAACGTAAGAAAAATAGACAATATTACTTATGTCACACCATAAATAAAGTGAACAGTCACGGGAGGGGCACCCGGCAAAGCTCCCAGGGGTGGGGGGGCACAGAAACCACCCAGGGGGTGCACCAGGACCTTGGGGTGCACAGAACCCTCTCAGGAGGGTGCACCAGGACCTTGGGGTGCACAGAACCGTCCCAGGAGGGTGCACCAAGACCTCAGAAGAAGAACCCTGGGAGGATTCAGAGAGACCTCGGGGTGCACAGAAACCCCCCCAGAGTGAGGCATCAAGGTCTTAGAGTGCACAGAACCCATCTGAGGTGACGCACCAAGATTTTGGGGTGCACAGAACCGTCCCAGGGGCTGCACCAAGGGGTGCACAGAACCCCCAGCAGGGCTGGGTGCCGGTGCCACAGGGCTGGTGACATCACCCATGGCGTGTCCCAAGCTCTGCTGTGGCCCAGCCCAGCACAAACCCCTGGAGCCCTTCCCTCCTCTTCCTCCCCTACAGAAAACACACAGGATGGGTTTTGCAAATGCAGAAAAACTACAGCTCCTCTCGATGCCAGGCCTCGCTCCGGCCACGCCACAGCTCCACGCTTCCTCCTCATCCTTTATTTGGCAAACGTCTCTTATTATTATCATCACTATCATTATTATTATTCATTTTTGGACCTCTGCAGACACTATTTACATTCACATTAGCGCACAGCACTGCTGCCTCCGCTCGGAGCTCGGACTTTCCCTATTGCACTTCCGTCCTCCGCGCCGCTCCAGCGAGGCAACAATCCCAAATAATCCACATTGTCCTGGCCAGGAAGGAGGCAGCGTTCCTTCTCCTTTCCTTCTCCTTTTCCTCTTAAAAATCCTTGTGAAACAAATCCAGCGCGGGGTGTGGGAGCAGCCTGGCAGTGAAGGGATGGGGGGGAAGTCCCCCGACGGCTTCGGGGAGGGAGAAACCCAAAATCCGTCTTTTTTTTTTTATTCTTTTTTATTATTATCTTTTTTTTTTTTTTTTCCAAAATCTCCTTTTGTTCTCCTTTTCCAGGGTGGTGGCGGGCAGAGGTAGAGATGTGCCAGCTCCGGCTGCAGTTCTCAGCCCCATCTCCCCCTCCCACACCTTGGGGGTTGGGGTTTTAGTAAAAACCTTTTTTTTTTTTTTTTTTTTTTTTTGCTTTATTTTAATAGAAATTCTTTAAAGCCCCAGGGGCGTGTCCATCCATCCTTGTGGGGAGGGGAAGGAAGCGACAACAGAACGAAACGAACTTTGGCAGTGGAGAGACGTTTGGATCTTCCTTGGTTTTGGATTTCCTTTGGAGCAGAGGTGAGTCTGGTCTGTTCTTGGCTAGCTAGCAAGGTAGTTACAGGTGAGCGTCCGTCACGCGTCGTCAGGTTTTTGGTTTTTTTTTTTTTTTTTTTTTTTCTTTTTTTTCCCTTTTTTACAATTTCTTACTTAAAGCCAAAGAGTCCGACGTTTTCTTTTTTATTTTCTTTATTTTTTTTATTAAAAAAAAAAAAAGGTAAAAAGAAAAAAAAATATAGGAAGAGAGAAATGAAGAAAAGAAGGTTCTTTCCTCCTCCAAGTGAGCCCCTCAGCAGCGCCGATGGGGGATGGGATCAGGCTGGTCTCTCCCCACAGCACTGCATGGTGAGGCTGGAGCCAAATCCCTCATCCAAAGAGCAAAAAAGGAAAAAAAAAAACCAAAAAAATCCAGCCAAAAAACCCAAAAAATCCCAAACCACAATCCCCCAACCGATAGAAAACCAACGGAAAAAAAGCCAAAACAAAGACTGAAGAAAGAACAGAGACCGGTATTTGCCTTAACTCCACTTAAAGCCCAGTTTGAGGATCCGTGAGGATTAGTTGAGAGCTAGAGAGGTCGTTTCGGAGGTCACACGAGTCAGGTAGCTGAGGAAATGGCACCGGCTGCAGTCCGTGGGTGGCTCAGCGGGACGCGCTGTCCAGCGGCGCCGGCGTGGCCGGAGTGGCTGCACGGGACGCGGCCACCGAGCCCGCCTCGCTGGGGCTGCTGGCCATGGCGGGCACCGCGTCGGGCTGGCCCGGCCCGGGGGCAGCGGTGCCGGGCAGCCCCTGCAGAGTCTGCCCGCAGACGTGGTGGTGCTTCTCCCAATCCTTGTGCTGGCAGAAGGAGCCGCAGTAGCGCGCCGTGTTGCAGCCGCTGCACGTCTCGCTCGCCTTCCGCCCGCAGTTCCAGCAGCTCTGTGGGAATGGGGGACACACGGGCTCAGCTCTGGAGTGTACAGCCTCTGGGTGGGCTGGGCACCCTCACCTGCGACCGGGCGCTCCATCAGCCCAGACTGTACACGTTCATCCCAGATTGTAGACATCCATCCCAGACTGTTCACATCCACCCCAGACCGTGCACGTCCATCCCAGACCGTGCACGTCCATCCCAGACTCTGCACGTCCATCCCAGACCGTGCACGTCCATCCCAGACCGTGCACGTCCATCCCAGACCGTGCACATCCATCCCGGATTGTTCACATCCATCCCGGATTGTTCACATCCATCCCAGACCCTGCACCCCTGTCCTGGACCATGTACATCATCCCAGTCTCTGCACATCCATCCCACAATGTGTATTTCCATGTCAGACCAGGCACATCCATTCTGGACTGTGCTCCCCTATCCTGAACCACATCCCCCTAATCCCAGACCATACAACCCTACCCTGGACCATGCACAGCATCCCACCCCACGCACATCATCCTAGACTGCATCCACATCCAGGACCATGCACCCCATCACTGCCCACACCCCCATCCCCATTCTCAGTGCCGGAATTCCTCTCCTCCCATCCCACAGTGCTGCCGCAGGCTCCCATTCCCACCCTCACACGCAGATGCTGCAACCTGGACTGCAAGAGGAGCAGGTCCCACACACCAGCAGTGCCACCAACCCGTCCCTAAGGTCCCCACCTCGCTCGAGTCCTCCTGCTGGTTGATGACGGTGAGGGCATCCTCGGACGCCTGGCGCTTGGCCTCGGCCAGGGCTCGCTCCATCTTGGCGCGCTCTGTCGTGATCAGCTCGTGGGCTTTCCTCTCGGCATCCGACACGGCCTTCTGCAGCTCGGACATGGCCTGGCGCTTCACCTCGTTCACGGCTTCTTCTGGAAGGCAGCAGCCCGAGCGTGTGGGGTGTGCCAGCGCCCCAGCATTCCCGCAAAACCACCCCAAATTCCTCTTGTACCGCTGGCATCCCAACGAGGGGAGCTGAGCCTGCCGGCTCAGCGCTGTGCCAGGGCTTGGTGCCCACCCCGCACTCACCAGCTTTCCTCCAGATCTCCTCGGGCATGTACCCGGAGAGCGGGCGGGGTGCGAAGTCCCGGTGAGCGTCTGCGAAGGAGAGAGGGGACGCCCTTAGGAGATGCCACCCCTTGGAATACACCCGCGGGCAGTGCCAGAGCCCCGGGAGAACGAGCGGAACAGCGCGGGCACCCCGGAGAGGGGCACAGCCCCGGGGGTCAGTACCTAACTGGGGAGCCTCGGTGGCAGAGGAGGAGGAGGAGGAGGAGTTGTGGGGCCGTGCGGAGGGGGGGCTGCCTTTCTTCATGTCCTCGGCGTCGCTGTAGCGCCGGATCCAGTGGTTGAGCTCCTCGCGATCGGCCTCCTGGCACCGCCGCAGCACCGTCAGCGACCGCCGCGTCTTCTCCACCATGTCCATGATGCAGTTCAGCAGCTGCGGGGGCAACAGCCGCGATGGGGAGGGGGCTCTGCTGCAGGCAGCAGGGGGGTTGTGGTACCCGGCGCTGGGCAGAGAGGTTTGGGCTATGCCAGGATGTGCCAGCTCCAGCTGTGCTGGCTGTGGAAGCAGAGGATGCTCGGGAGAAAAGCGAGGGACACAGTGGGGATGGAGGGCAGAGTGAAGGGACACACACACACACGCGCGATGGGGCAAGGACACCACGTACATTATTGAGGTGTTTCCACTCCTCCGCCCACTCCCGGTCCGTGAGCCGGTGGTCGATCACCTCCTCCTGCCGCGTCCCGTGCACGGCTGCAAGGCAAGAGCGGAGTAGGGTCAGTCCCTTCTCACGACCCCTCCGCTTTCAGGGGGTCCCAGCCCCGATCCCCCCCCGTGCGCTGGGACACGCAGGGCTCACCGGCAGGGCGCTGGCGCTCGCGGAGCTCCCGGGGGTCGGGGTGCCGGTAGGTGTCCCGGTAGTGGTGTGCCATGGCCATGTCCTCCAGGCGGTAGTGCTGGGGCAGGGAGGGGCCGGCGGGGGGGTGCCCCAGCCCGTTCGGGGGGTGGCTCAGCCCGTTGCTGGGGCTGTAGCGCTGCGCTGGGCTCATGGTGCACGGCCGCTTGCTGAGGTGCTCGGGGTGCAGGGGGTCTCGGTCCAAACCGTTCTCTTTGGTCCTGGAAGGAGGAGAAGAGGTTGGTCCTCCCCCGGAACAACCTCCCCTTTTCAGGGATGCATCCCTGAAAAATCCCGCACGCCCCTCCCCTGGCTGGCACCTGTCTGGCGTCCTCCTCTTGCCGCTCTCGCCCACCTCCAGGAGCAGCTCGGAGGAGTCGATGGGAGAGGAGGCGTTGGCGTCCAGCAGCAGCTGCTCGTGCTGGGCCAGGTACTGCGCCGGGGTCTGCTTGGCCATGCGGGCACAGTGCAGCAGCTCCCGCTGCAGCAGCGGCAGGTTGGCCTGCAGGGGGGTCACAGTCCAGTCCACAGCCCCACAGCCCCCCCAGAGCAGCCCCCAGCTGTGCCCCCAGCTCGCCACGGGCAGGGGGTGTGATGGGGTGCCTTCCCTTTGGGGTCTTGCTCCCTTTCCCCAGGGGACAGCCTTGGGATGCCAGCAACGTGCCCAGGGGCCAGGTGGGCTTTTGGGGGACATGTGTGGAACCCCACAGGGTTCAGACACAGCTTCAACAAAGCCCTCCTGCATCCTGGCAGGGGCTGCAGAGCATCATCCCCTGGGCCAGGGTCCTCACGACTGCACCCTGGGGACTGCACCTGTGGGACCCCCCCAGTCCATGTGGCACCCACAGCTGTAAGGATCAGCTGTAACTCCCACCCACCGTGTCCCCCCACGGCGCTGCAGCCCCAGGAGCAGCAGGAATTAAGCAGCAGAGCCCCCTTTTGCCCGGTGCTCTGGCTGCCAGCCCTGGATTTTGCCTCAGGCAGCTGAGCCGTGGCCAAATCCCATCTGTGGGACACGTTAGCGCCCGAGTCGGAGCTGCAGTTGTGGTGAGCGGGGCCGGACCCTCCCTCCCCTTCCCTTCCCTGGCCGGGGGAGAGCAATCCCACAAAAACAGCAAGTCCCCGGTCTGGGAAGCACGCCGAGCCCGGCTGGTTGCAGTTAGGATAATGAGAAACATCTGGAGCGGGCGGTGGGAACAGCTGGGAGCGGGGTGCCAGGGCGGCCGCTGCGCTCTTGGCACTGGGACAGCGGGGATGGATCCCAGCCTGCCTGGAGCCACAGGGCCACCAGTGCCTGCCGGGGCCTGGGGTTCACCTTTCCCTGCTCCCATGGATCCCAAAATGCTGCAAACTGGGCAGGAGGGGAGGGGATTCTGCTGCCCCACTGCAGCTCAGCCTGGAGCAAAGCACTCCAGCAGATTCCTGTGATGAGCAAGCACCTCCACTCATGGACCCCTGCTCTGGGGGGGCTGGGATGCAGAGGTGGAAAAGGGGCTATTTTTGCACTTTTTAATTATTCCTTTGCTAACAAGGGACAGGGGAGACCGGGCTCTAACTGCTGGCAGTGCCAGTGCTGCCAGGCATGCCAAATCCCTCTGGAGCAGGGTGACACTGCAGATACAGAAAAAAAAAAAAAAAAAAAAAAAAAAAAAAAAAAAAAAAAAAGAGGGAATTTTTAATGAATTTCAAATGGCAACCAGCTGGGCCGACCCCTCACTTTATTGCAACCAGCCCTGGCCCTGTGTGACTCCACACGTGTAGGGGCACACGTGTGCCTGGGGAGACATGGGGCAGACCCACAGGCAGCTGCCAGCCCCAAATCCCCCGTGCTGAAATGCTGCCAGGAATCCCACCGTGCCCAGGCTGGAGACCCACCTTGAGGAAGGGGATGACGAAGGGTCGCAGTGGGAAGTTGGTGGCTTCTTGGAGCTTGGCGTGAAACTCCTCGATGGTGAGGGTGGAGTTCTGTGGGGACAGCCTGGGCTCAGCACCCCTGGCACAGCCCCCTGCACCCCTGGGGGACACTTGGCTGTTCCTCCCCCATTCCTGCTGCTCTGCCAGGCTCACAGGAAAACAACACCCAAGGGAAAACCATGCTCAAGGCTTCACTTCCAGCAGCCAGGACCAACCCTGCCCTGGCTGTGCAGATCCCAGGAGATGCTGGGAAAACAACCCCCTTGTCTCCAGGATTTAGATCAATCCAGGCCCCTCTTTCCCTTTTAGCAGCATCTCCATCCCCAAAAGAAAACACAGGATCCTCAGATGGGCTGACCCACGGACGTACCACGAGCCCCAGGACGAGGGTGCGCACCCGCTCCCCGATCTCGGGGGAGATGTCGTTCCCAAACTGCTGCAGGGTGGTGAGGAAGCGCTTGAGCTTGGAGAGCTGGCGGGCACCACAGGCTGGAGGGAGCTGGTGGGTGGACAGGGAGGCGCTGGAGGAGGTGGCTGGGCCGTTGCTGAACCCGTTGGGGGTGGACGGAGCCCCATTGATGGCGGTCGGTGAGTGGCTGCTCCCGTTCATCACTGGGGGGACAGGGAACGGGAGGTCAGAGAGGGTGGCTGTGCCCTGGCACTGTGGGGATGGTAGGACCAGAGTGTCCTGCTGGGTAACGTGGGGCTGGCACCCCCTGGAAGGTTTCAGGATGCTGGTGAATCCCTGGGGCTGCATCCTGGACTGGTCCCAGTGCTGTGGGGAAGGAGGGGATGCAGAGCATCCCCCAGCACAGCGAGGGCCTGACCCAGCTCCTCAACAGCCAAGGGAAGGGGCTCCATCCTGCCCCTCTGGGAGCTGCTCAGCACTCCCAGAGAGAACCCAGGAGCCATTTCCCATGGAGCCCAGCCTGGCTTGCAGAACACTGCCACCTCTGTCCCCACTGCTGGCCAGGAAGGACAGGAGCTGCCTGAACACTGCACACTGGGAGATCCAGGGGGGATATTGTGGGGTTCCAACCATCAGTGACAGATCCCTCTCTCCTGCAGCAGCCCCACGTGAGCACAGGGACCTTTTCCTGGCCAGCATGGGTGACAATACACACATCACCCATGTCCCGACCATGCAGGTGACAACACGCATCACCCATGTCCCGACCATGCAGGTGACAACATGCATCACCCATGTCCCAGCCATGTGGGTGACAGCACACATCACCATGTCCCAACACACATCACTCATGTCCTGACCATGCAGGTGACAACACATAAAACCCCTGTCCCTGCTAGTGTGGGTGACAACATGCATCACCCATGTCCTGACAGCACAGGTGACAACACACATCATCCATGTCCCAACGGCATGGGTGACAACATGCATCACCCATGTCCCAGCCATGTGAGTGACAACACACATCACCCATATCCTGACCATGCAGATGACAACACACATCACCCCTGTCCCAACAGTGCAGGTGACAACACACATCACCCCTGTCCCAGTCATGTGGGCCACGTCACACATGGCCATGTCCCCACGGCGTGTCACCCGTGGCTGTGCTGTGCTGCCCTGCCAGCCCTGCCTGCTCTGGGGGCTCCCCTTTCTCTCTCTGGCCGGGCAGCACCCGCTGAGGGGGTGCCAAAAATAACCCAGCGACCACAACTGCTTTTATTCCCACGACAGGTGCGTGCCTAAGTTGGCCAGCACACCTGTCCCTGGGCCGGGATGGGGTTGGGCTTCACATCCCCGGGGCAGGGCGGGGGCTGGCCATGGGGAGCACCCCCGGGGCTGTGGCTGTGCTCAGGTCTCTCATGAGAGCGGGTGTTTCATTTTACTTACAAAGACAGACCATCGACCATTTCAAGCAACCATGAAAACGGCCGCGAGGCAGAAACGTCGGAGGGCCAGCGTCTCGATCTGCAAGCAAAATAAAACACGCTATGATGAGAGAGCAGAGGGGGCAGCTCTCGGCCCGGGGCCCTGCAGGGGATGCTCCTCACCACGGGCACGTGTGCCATGGGCAAAGCTGCCAGAACCACCGGGGACCCGGTTCCCCGTGTCCCGCTGCAGCCACAGGGAGGGTTCAGGGCATGGATGCTCGGCTGCCTGATGAAATCCTGACATTTCAGGGACCAAATGAGGTCCCCCAAGGCCAAGAACAACCAAAATGCTGTGGTGTCCATGCCAAGCTGCTCCGTGCCCTCAGCCTTGTGTCTCAAACCCTGCTCCATGCTGAGCTGTGATGGAGGGGTCGCCTGCACCCCCAGCCCTGTGTCCCAAATCTCTCTCTGTGCTCAGTGTGGTGCAGAGGCCGCCTGCACTCCTGGTCCTTCATCCCAGACCCGGCCACACCCGGGCTACCACATCAGCCACAGGGCTGGGACTGACACACAAACCCTCTCCAAGCACAGCCAAGCACAAGCTGATTTCTAGAGAGTCTGTCCAGAAGTGCTGCTGGGGGGCTGCAGGTGTCAGGGGATGGATCTCAGGGGTTGTTTTGGGGTTTTTCCTTCCCCACTGGGGTTTTTCTGAGCAAGAAGCAGCTACAAGCAAAACACTTGCACGTGTGTGTGCCCAGGAAAAGTCTCAGCAGAACAGGAGCAGCCACTGGCAGTGGCCACTGCCACTCCTGCCAGGGGCCAGCCTTGTCCCCTGCCCGTCTGGATCCTGCACTGCACACGCCTTGTCCATGTGCCAGGACAGTGACACTGGCACAGTGACAGATCCCTGGTGCAAAGCCTGTGGGTGTGCAATGAGCCCACGTGCCTCTGGTGCAGCCACCACATTGTCTGGCTGTCCCCAATCCAACTCCAGAGACTGAAACTCCCACCTGGAGTCCCCTGATGCCACCACGCCATAGCCTGGGCAGGGCAAGGAGGTCCCAGCCCCTGTGGCTGGCCATGACACTGCCCTGCCACCACTGGGTGCCACATGTAGAGGGACAGATGTGTCCCCACGTGCATGGCACCCACCACGGGCCCATCTCCAACGCACAGGGACTCCTCCAACCACGCACCAACATTTGGTGGCAGAAGAGCAGGATGTCCCTGTCCCCAGGGACCTCACAGGGCACTGCTGGCCACGGAAGCAGGAACATGCTTTGGGAATGTGCACACAAGAAGAGCCTCCAGCCTGAGCACAGGTAAAGCCACCCATGTCTCAGCCAGACAATGTCACCCGTGTCCCAGGCAGGCAATGTCACCCAGTGTCCCAGGCAGGCAATGTCACCCGTGTCCCAGCCAGTAATGCCACCCGTGTCCCAGCCAGGCAATGTCACCCGTGTCCCAGCCAGCACCGCGCTGGGCTCTGAGGACGCTGCTGGCCAGGGTGCCGTGTGTGAGGCGCTGAGGGCAGCTGGCAGCCCCAGGCTGGCAGCCCATGCCCAGGCTGGTACTCACTGGTGCTGGGTGTGAAGGAGGGGTGGCGTGTGGCTCCCTGGGTGACAGCTGGTGGCGGTGGTGGCATGCTGGGTGGCGTGGAGCGAGCCTGCGTCTTCACATCGGCCGGCGAGTCGGGCATGGTGGCGGCCGGGATCTCCGCGTTATCTGCGGGAAGAGGGCACGGGGTGGTGAGCAGGGTGTGCCAGGCAGGGCTGTGATTCCCTGGCAAACAGGGTCAGGGGCAGAGGGGACACTTGGGGACCTCCAGTCCCGCTGCAGAACTCAGGTAACAGGGACAGCGTGGTGTCCTGTGTGCCACAGGATGTGGGGAGGGTGCTGGACCTGCTCTTCGTCTGCACAGCTGGGGACAGTGCCCTGTGCAGGGCTGGCACCAGGAGCAGGCACTGCTCTGTCCCTGCGGTGCCAACCCTGCCCCAGCCCGTGTCACATCGCTGCTGTGACAGCACAGCACCCTCCTGACACATCCTGGGAATTCCTGCCGACCCCTCTGCATCCCTGGCAGCGTCACCCAGGGCTGGCACAGCCCCTGGCAGAGATCGTGGCATCATTACACCAGTGTTTAGTGGCACCCACACATCCACCAGGGACTGTCCCCCCCAGACTCGAGTGGCTCTGCAAGGCCAGATCCTGCAGTCCAGGGATCGTGGAGCTCTCAGTCATCACCATCACCCCAGCGGGCATTGCCACCTGCCTCCCACCCCCAGATAACGCCCAGCAGGGCATTCCTGAGGTGCCAGCACCCCTCCAGCCAGCACACAGCCCCAGCGCAGGGTCTGGGCCCCGTGGCTGCCACACTGGTGGTGATGGGTGGCCACAAGTGCTGGCAGCTGTGGGGATCTGTGGAAGCGGCCACCAGGGCCACCCCCAGCCATGGGGTCCCCCCTGTGGTCCCCGCCCAGCCTGGCTGATAATCCAATATTCATCCTTAATCCAGGGCAACTGTGGGGAGATTCATTGAACCCGGGCACAGCACTTTGGGCAGGCTGAATAAAAGAGGGTCTCATCCCCACAGTGATGCTGTCGGGGCTGTGCTGCAGCTGGCAGTGCACAGAGAACGAGGGATGGTGGAAGGAGCCAAAATCTCTGCTGGTCACCCACAGGATCCTTCTGGATGGCTGCAGCACCATGGATATCCCTCTCTGAGCACAGCACCCTGGAATGCTGCAGACACCTGGATGTGCATGCTCCAGTTCCCTGTTCCTCACTCCCTTCTCCCTCCCCAGCCACAGGAGAAATCCCAAGACCGTGCAGCTTCCCTCCCCCCAAAACCTCAGCTTCCTTACAGGGTCTGCCAGAATAAATGGTTTGTTCCAAAGAACACCTTCCATTTTCCTTTTCATGGAAATGTCCATCTCTGGGCAGAGCTCTGCCAGCCTTCCAGGCTTCCCCCGTCACTCAGCAGAGCAGGATCCAGCTCTGACAGCAGAGGATGAGCCCTGAGTGTGCACAGAGTGGGACCCTGTGAGGGGTCACAGCTGCTGCACCTCCATCCCACCCCATCCTTGCCTGCATCCCTGGCACCATCCCTGTCCTTGTCACAGCCCTGGCAGCATCCTTGCCTGCATCCCTGCAATGGTCCCTGCCTGCATCCCCATCCCAGCTCCTCACTGCCCTGGCTCCCCACACATTCCCACACCAAGGGGAAACATGGATACATTCATCCTGGCACTGACATGGCTTTTCCACAGCTTCCCATCAGCAGGAAAGTTTCCATGAAGCTGAGCAAGCACTCAGGGAAATGGGGCCTGGTTCTGGTTTTTCTTGTGTTTTCTTTTTTTTAAGTTTTAAATTTTCCCCCGAGGTGTTTGCAACCCAAATACAGCCAGGCAGGCACAGGAATAGTCCCAAATCCAATGGGATAAAGAGCTTGGAATGCCCAGAGGACCCAACCCAGGTCTTTTGCAGGATGGGTTGAGCTCCAGGAGGGCAAAGGAGGTTTTGGGGAGCAAAGTGCAGCCTCCCCTCAGCTCCCTTCAAACAGCGATTCCCCAGCACAACTCCAACTCCACTGGAATTATTTTTCCCTCTATTTTTTTCTCTCTTTGGGGTAATTTGTCCCAGCCGCTCGGGGCCGTGTCTGTTTTCCTCCATCTGGTTTCCATTAGGTCTGTGCAGCCCAGATGAATAAGTAATAATATAAAAATAAAAGGATTAGTATTTTCTCCTGGGCTGGCGGGAGCGGCTGTTCCCCGCCCTGCCCCCCGGGGCCGGCGGATGCCGGACCCCCGCACGCCCCTGTGCCACCCCGAGCCCCCCATTTGTCACACGGCAGGGTTTAACCCCGGCACTGTCACCCTGCTGCGGTGACACTGTCACGCAGGGACATTCCAGCGGGCACACGGCAGCCTGGAGCCGCAGGGACAGGAGCAATGCCGGAGGGATGGGGCTGGCAGCAATCCCAGCCTGGCGTTTGCTGTTTCCCACAGCCCCAGGGAACCCATCCAGCCACCACGAGCCCGGGGTTCTGCCTCTTCCCTGGGCAACAAGTGGGATGTGCCAGCTCGGGGATGAGTGTGGAGCACCAGGCCCGGCTGCTCTGCTCTCCATTCCCCAGGGATGGATGGGGATGAAGCAGGCACGGAGCTGCCCTGGATGTGACCACTGGAAAGCTCCGGCTCCCCTGCAGGCAAAGCTTCCCGGGTAAAGAAGGGGTTAAAGGGAATTCAGCGCCCAGCATCCTTCATGCTCTCCAAATGGCCACAAATGAAATCCAGATGCTGGAGGCGACGTCTCCCCAAGCCAGGCTGCCTCCGAAACAAAGGCAGGGAAGAATTCCTGCTCCTCAGCTGCCGCAGCCAGCGGGGCCAAGAACAACTCCCCGATAAGATGGCAGGGCCGGAGCTGTCCCAGATGGAGCAGGTCTGGAAGCGTGCAGTGCCCGAGGCCGGGCAGCAGCGCCAGACACGTGCAGAGCTGGTGGGACCTCCCGGCACCATCAGCTCCCTCCTCCCCTGCACCCATCCCGATCCCCTCTTTGGGGACAAAGGTGACAAGAAGCAGCTTGGAGTTCATCCCCAGTTGCACTTGGAGCAGGAGTACAGTTCTGGGATGCTGACAGAAGATGGATTTAGGTGGAATATTGAGAAGGAATTCTTCCCTGGGAAGGTGGGGAGGCCCTGGCACAGGGTGCCCAGAGAAGCTGTAGCTGCCCATGGATCCCTGGAAGCATCCAAGGCCAGGCTGGACAGGGCCTGGAGCAGCCTGGGATAGTGGAAAGTGTCCCTGCCATGGCAGTGGGATGAGGTGAGGTTTAAGGCCCCTCTCAATCCAACCCATTCCACAATTCCATGATGATGCTGCCCATCCATCACCAGGGCGTCTCAGGTGCTCATTTTGGGGAGCCACACCCAGCACTCATCAACAAAAAGGAAGCCCTTTAAAAGGAAATCCAATTAATCAAACTCTGCACGATTTCTAAAGGAACCCAGATTCTTTCAGCTCCAGTCCTGGGGAGCCCTGCAGGTCATCCCCACCTTTCCCACGGGCACCCTGAGACAGGTCCTGTGCCACTGGCCCAGCTGGGGCACCTCCCACCAGCACAATTCCAGGGTAAATCAGGTTTCCCCACGCTCAGGTACATCCCTGATGTACCATTTTGCTTTTTGTAAATCCACTTTGCTTTCTGAGCACACTGAGCCCACAACCCCGAACGCCAGCGCTGCTGAGAGATGCCCCAAGGGCATCCAGGCCATCAACCCCCAGCAAGTCCCAAACCCCCCGGTCCCCTGTGACAGCAGCACCCGCAGCCAGGCTCTCCACGCACCCCAAACCCCAAAATCCCAGTTTTCAAGCCAAAACCATCCACCCGGGGACCCAAACCAGCTGGCTCGGTGCCACCAAGGCAGTGCCAGCAGCTCCCGCTCGCCCCGAGCTGGCGTGGCCGGGGGTGGAGGACGGGTTTGATTTTTCCTCGAAACGACAACAAAAAAGAAAAAAAAAAAAAAAAAAAAAAAAGGCGCCCTCTCTGTTTTACAAGCCTTCATTTGCTATTGTTTATGTAAACAGGTAAATTGTTTCGTATCTCAATTAAAAACATCTGCCACATAAATGAATACCAATTAACTCATCCTGTTTTTAATTACTCTGTTAATTACACACAGGCAGCAAAAAGGATGGCAGGGGAATAGGGAAAGCATGCTTACACCCCCCCCTTCCCACCTTGCTCTTGGCAAGGATCCGAAATGTGCCCAGATAATGATGGATTAAGGTGAAAACCGTGGCTCCTGGCCAGCTCCGGCGTGGTGGCTCCCTCATGGGGCGTCTCTCAGAGGGATTTCCCGGGACCTTTTGGGGAGGTTTTGGAAACCCCCCCAGCCCCACGGGATGCCCCAAGGTCACCTCATCCCCCGCGCCGGGTGGCACAGCCCCGCTGGCACTGTCGGTGCCAGCCCCGCGCTCCTTCTCCAAACGTGACCACGGGAGAGAGCGAAACTTTGGGATGGCCAGAGGAGCGAGGAAGCGACATCCTCATGACCCGAGCGCATCCCCGTGCTGCCCCCGGGTGCCCTCCTGGCACCGAGGGCTCGCCCCCTGCGCGGGGTGGGTGCCATCCCTGGCGAGCGACCCCGGGCGCCGCCGGCCCCCCCCGGCTGCGGGAAGCTTTCCAAGCGAGCAGATGGGGCAGGGAGCGGCGGCAGGAGGAGGAGGAGAGGCAGAAAAGGCTATTTTCTCACGCTACATATTTTACAAGTCGAACATTTTGTGCATTTCAGCCCTGCCTGTAAAAGCATCTCGGCCTCAGCCCCGGGACTCGACGGCGGAGCCTGTGAGTCAACAGCGGCTGGCGACGACGTGGCTGCAGGCGGGGGGACGGGCTGGGAGGAGGGTCCCCCACGAACAGGGACAGTTGGGGGGGTCCCCCCTGACCTATCGGCCAGCAGCACCCAGCCAGGACACAATATATAATATATAATATACAATATGCTGCAGTGTCGTGCCCGCTGCCACCGTCGGATTCATCCCAGCGGGGTGGCACAGGGAGGTGGGCACACACACACCCACCCACCCTGCTGCTCCCCAGCTGCCTTACACTCCTGGAAATTAAATATCCTGGCTAAACACCAGGAGTAAACAGTGCCGCAGGCAGCCCGGAACACCTGGAGAGGAGCAGGGCTGGGGCTGACCCTGCCGGAGCCTCCCCCACCCAGCAAACACCCACGCCTGGGCTGTACCCCAAAACCAGCCCAAAGCACTGCCAAAGGAGCACCCCAAAACCACCCCCACGCCCCCATCGGGGATTTCTGCAGCCCTGTCCACGGGGATGCTCTGCCCAAAGCTGGCCCTGATGGCTGGAGCAGGGACAAGCGGCACACGCAGGGGGTTGGGGGAATCCTGGAGGCAGAAAGTGTTTGGGGAAGGGAAAGCTCCCCCTCCACAGCCCCGAGCTCCCGGAGAGGTCCCTGCAGCGTGGGAACGCCGAGGCGCCGCCGGCTCCCCAGGGACCCCGGGGCAGATCCTGCCCCGCAGGCGCCAGGCTGGTACCGGCTCCGAGGGGGTGCCGGATCCGGCCGTGCTCTCCCACAGCCTCCAGGCTGCTCCCTCACCGACGCTTTGTCTATTTTTGAACCACGGGGCTCCATTTCAAGGCGATTTTGCCCATGTGAAATCGAATCAAAGAACACAGGAAAAAATATTAATGGGAATTTTGCAAAATAAACAGGAAATCCCTGGGATGTTTTCTGGTCAGCATCTTCCGAAGGAAAGCTGGGGGTTTGTCAAGGTGGGGTTCCCCCTGGGGAGCCTGAGCACAGTGGGAGGGACGGCAGAAAACAGCTTCAGGAAATCTAAAAATAACCCCAAAGCAGGCAATGGCACTAAGGCCAGGGCACCGGGCAAGGGGTGTCCTCTGTGCCACCAGCCTGTTCCTGCCTCTGCCCGGCAAGGATTGATCCCAGCCTGGGGACTCCTGTCCTCCCCATCCTGCCGGGCAGCTAAATCCATCTCCCACGTGAGATCCAGCCTGGAAAGCACAGGTCAGGCTGCAGGATCCGACCCGCAGCATCGACAGCATCCCCCCGGCCCCAGCAGCAGCGATTAAGCCCAGCTTAACCCATGGGCTCAGCTTGGTCCCTGCCAGCCCAGTTCACAGCACCCGGCCCTGATCTGCCCCAGACCTTGACTGTGCTGGTCTGGCTGGAGGCTGAAGAGGGTCAGTGCTGCTGTGGGGGATTTTTGTGTCCCCCCAGCTCCTGCCCCACTGCCAGCACTCCTGGCAGCCCTGCACTTCCTGGTTGACTCGCTGCCAGTCCACTGACTCCCGCTAAGAGGTATAATAACAAATATTTATGGGGTACCTCTCCTCCCCGGGGGTCCCACAGCACCCCGGCACCTTCCCGAGGTGGCTGCAGGACAGGGGACCCTGCAGAACCCAAGTGTCCCCAGATTTCAACAGGGCTTTATGGCAGCTGCTGGCAGGAGCAGAGCCCAGACCCCATTTTCACAGCACAGCGAAACACCCACAGGATCCACAACTCCTGGACCCTGCTTGGGGTTTTCCACACGTGCAGACATCCACGGCTCAGAAGCAGAATTCCAGGAACGTCGGCAGAGACCTGCCAGCCCCAGGTTCCCCGTGGGACCTGCCAGAGCCCCCTCCTGCCTGCAGCAGCTCAGCCCTGAAGTGGGGCTGAGCACCAGAATATTTTTCCATCTTGCAGCCTGGAAGTTCCCGATTTAAGAGGCAAATCTTGCACCCACACGAGGCCTCCCCACTGCCCAAACCTGGCAGCCACCCCACGCCAGCACCCAGAGCCACGGGAGAACAGAGAACAGCCTCTCCCTCACCACGTCCTGGCTTTTCCCCCCGACAAACCAACATCTGCACTCATTTTCCAAACAAAACACAGCCAACATCTGTCTGCTCCCGGGTAAAACCTTACCTGCCAGCATGGAAAACCCCCTTGGCACAGCCAAGCTCACCTCCACTCGCCTCCCCACCACGGAATTTCTCCCTGTGTGGAAACTCTCAGCACAGGGACCTGCCTCACAAACCTCCGAGGATCCAAGAGCCCACCCCAGGGGCAGCTCAGCTCCATGGGGCTCCTCACCCGAGCACCGTGGCTGTCAGCATCCTCCCCGGCTGCTGCTCCGTGTTTGCCGTGGGATTTCGGGATGGTTCCCCCATTTCTCCATGCCCTGTACCACAGCAGAGCTCACCCCACAGCGGCGCCGAGCAGACGGATGTTTGCAGAGTGTCTTCAAGTCGCTCGACAAAGGAGCAGAGAATTAATATTCCTTTTAATTAAAGGCAGAAAAATCTCTTTGTTCCTGAACAGAGAGAAAACAACAGAGGGAAGAGCTCAGAAGCTCTTCCTAAGCTGGAGACGAGACCATCGCTTGGAATCAAAGACACTGTCAACGCACACGTGACCTCGAATTAAAAAAACAAAATGAAACGCAGCAGCGGCAGTGGCTCCTCTCCGACAGCGAAGGAAAGTTGCAAAGTTTTTCTTGGCTAATACAGGGAAAAAAAAGAATTCCAAGAAAAGGTGTGTTTAACTAGAGAAACGCTCTGCGGTATCCGAAGGCACCATCCAGCGGCGAGGAAATGACGGGAAGAGCTGGTTGTGCTCCGGCTCGGTGTCGCGGAGGAGCCACCGAGGAGCGCGGGGCCAGCCTGGCTCCATCGCTCCGCCGGCAGCATTCCCTTGGCAAAGCCGGGCTGACCAGCTTAGCGTAATTCCAAAGGGAAAGCGAGAGCAGGCGGTGATGAATGGCAGCGCTGGAGACTCCCGAGCCAGCCTTCCTTCCCAAATCCACATCCAAACAAACGTCCAGAGAACGACTCCGCGAGCGTTCCCACCACAGCCCCGCGTCCCCACCACGGCCCCGCGTCCTCGCACACAAACACAGAACGAAGGGAGCTGGAACTTCCCAAAGCTGCCCTGGGATTCCTCCCGCAAACTCTCCCAAGTGGGGGTCAGCTCCTCCTCGCCACCCAACACGGCTCCAGCTCCAAGCCCGCGGCGGCCGGAGCGGGATGCGGAGCTGGCGAGCACACAGGAGGGATGCAGGGATGACAAAGAGTTGGAATGCTGGGCAGGAGCCGGCAGCCACAGCCGGGGGGGGTCTGCTGGCGGGGGTGGGCACAAACTCGCGTGGGTTCCCGGGGACGCTGTGCCGCCCCACGCCGCCCCGGTGCTCGGGAAACGGCGCTCGGGAAATGGAGGGGAGAGCAGGAAGAGCCCCGGCAGCGCAGGGAAGGGGGGGTCTGCACCCCGCGGCCCCCCCGGCAGCGCGGTGCGTGGGAGCGGGGCCCACGGGCGCGGCGATCCCGATCCTGATCCCGATCCTGATCCCGATCCCGCTCTGCCTCCGCCGCGGAGCAGCTCCGAGCGCTGCGCCCTCTCGCCCCGGCTGTGCCCCCGCTCGCCCTGCCCCGCTCCGCCGCCGTGGCACACGGAGCATCCCCGTCCCCTGCGCACTGGCAGCTGCCCCGACACCGGGAGCATCCTCCGGGAATCGGGAGCCTCCGACTCCCTTGCGCACCGGGAGCGTTCCCTGCGCACTGGCAGCTGCCCCGACACCGGGAGCATCCTCCGGGAATCGGGAGCCTCCGACTCCCTTGCGCACCGGGAGCGTTCCCTGCGCACCGGCAGCTTCCCCGACACCGGGAGCCTCCCCCGGGTACCGAGAGCATCTCGGACTCCTGCACAACAGGAGCGTCCCCCGGGCACCGGGAGCATCCCCCGAGCATCAGGAGCATTCCCAGCCCCTTTTCCACGGGAGCCTTCCCGGGCACCGGGAGCCTCCGATTCCCCGACGCACCGGCAGCATCCTCCGAACACCGGCGGTATCCACAGCCCTGTGCCCTTCGAGCCTCCCCAGGCACCGGCAACCTCCGATTCCCCCGTGCACCCAGAGCATCCCCCGAACACCGGGAGAATTCCAAGCGCCGCTTTCACGGGAGCCTCCGCGGGCACCGGCAGCCTCCCCGTCCCCGTCCCCGTTGGCGGACGGCACTTACCGTCCTGAGGTGTGGCGGAGGCGTGAGGTAAGTCCCAAGGCAGGGGCCGGCGGGGCCGGCAGGAGCGGGCAGAGCCGGCAGCGGCCCCCGGCGGCGGCGGCCCCGGCCCGCTCAAGGCCGGCGCTGGCGGAGCGCGGCCCCGCGGCGGCGGCTGCCCCCGGCACCTGCCCGCCGCCGCTCGCCGCGCCCGGGGCCGCCGCTCGCCGCCAGCTCGGGGGGTCGGGGCGCTTCCCCTCCCCCCGGAGAAGCGGGGGAGGGCGGAAAAGCCGCGGTAAATCCGCGGGGCCGCTTCACCCCCTGCGCTCCGCCCGGCCGCGCATCCTCCCGGAGCCGCGCCGCGGCCGTGGGGCCCCCGCGGCCGCGCTCCGTGCCCGGCCGGGCCCCCGCAGCGCCGCCGCTGCCGCCGCTGTCTCAGCCCGGCCCGGAGTGAGCGGGGCCCGCCCGCGCCGCTGCCTTAGACCGGAGAGCGCCGGGACCGCCAGGGGGCGCCCTGCCGCCGCCGCCGCCACCGGAGCGGGACCCCGGGATGGGAACGGGATGGGATAACGGGATAATGGGATGGGATGGGATGGGATGGGATGGGATGGGATAATGGGATGGGATACGGGGCTGTGCAGAACCAGGGAGTCCATACCGAACCGGGGGACTGAGTGGGACACGGAGCTGTGTGACACCGGCGCTCTGCACGGGGACTTGGGACTGCCCAGGGTTTTAGGGGGTGCACAGGACCTGGTGACGCTGTGGGGACTGGAGGGCCATACACGGTGGTGTACGGGGCTTGGGGGCTGCAGGGATTGGGGTTTGCAAAATCGTCAGAGTTGGGGGTGCTAAAGATCGAGGGTTGAAATGCTGAGAGTGAGGCGCTGCATGGGGGGTGGGGTAACATATTTTGGGGAGCTGCAAGGAGCTAGAAGTTGTTTTGGGGAAGGTAGAGGTACTGCAAGGGCACGATCCAGGACTTGTCTGGGGTCATGGAAAGAGCCCAGGGGTTGGAGCAGGGTGGGGGTGTCTGCAAGGGCCTGGGAGGCTGCTGGAGGATGGAGCTGTGCTTGCTCAGCTTCCCTCTCCAGGGCTCCAAGGGGTTGCACTGGAGCAGCCACAAGACCACAGGCACAGCCCTCAGAGTCCCACATGCCCATCCCAGCCCGGCCTTGGAGTGCCCCCCACCCTGCTGGGTCTCGGTGGGGCTCCAAGGGCAGCTGCGTGCTGGGAATGCCAGTGGGCAGCGGTGCACATCTGGCTGCTTGGCACCCCCGTACCAGCTGGGGGACAACGTTCAAATTTTCCCTCCCCGAGCTCTACTACAACGCTGCTGCTTGCCCGTACAAGGGGAGCACAATCCCCGTGAATTTCCCTGCGGATTTCCCTGCGAGCCCCAGCCCTGCCTCTGGGTGTAATTACTGTGCCTGGCAGCTGCTTCCCTCTGCGACTGCCCCGTGCCGGGTGTATTACTCATCCCCGCCGCTTCCCAGGGATTGCGAGAGCTGCGGCTCTGCCAGGCGGAGTCACCCGGCACGGCTGCTGCACAGCCGGGGCTTGGGTGCCACAGGACAGCTGCGTGGCCACTGGACAGCCAGAGAGTGGCCCTGGCGTGGCTGAGGCACGGACACTGTGTGGGCACTGGCTTGGCCACTGCACAAGTGCTGCATGGCCTCTGTTGTGGCCACTGCATGGCCAGTAAATGCCAATCACGTGGCCACTGAGAGACCTTTCTGTAGGTAGTAAATAATCATCACAAGGCCACTAAGTGACCATTCTACGGCCACTAAATGGCCACCACATGGCCACTGTGGGGCCACCACACAGTCCCTAAATGCCCACTGCATGGTTCCCCTCACTGATGGGGTCACTGCAGGAGGTGCTGCAGAATCCTGACCCAGCCCCTCCAGCCTCAGCTCCAGTTTTCCATCCTTTGCTCCCAGAGGTTCTCCAGGCCCTGCTGCCCTCATTCCCACGGGGACCTTTCCCCAGGAGCCTCGTGCAGGTGCCCCAGAGGAAAATCCACCCTGCACAGCTGCACTCCCACCTCACCTCACCCCGGCTTTGCATGGGTGGCACCGGCTGGCACATGCAAATGCCAGCACCACGTGTGCTTGGGGACACACACGCTTGGACATGTGATTCCCAGCTCGAGGTGGACCCCCAGCATCAGCGAGGCAGCCCAAGAGTGTTCCCAGAGTTCTGGGCTCCTTCGGGGTCAGGCCACTCTCTGGGAGAGCAGGGACCTGCCCATGGGGGTGACCACATGTCACACAGCCAAGTGCAAACCTCACACACACCACAAAACCCTCCTGGGAATGCCCAGCCATGAGCCCAGCAGTGACCAAACCCATCCCCTGTGACCTGCCAGCTCCCTGCCACGAGCACATCACAGGGACCTGCCAGGACCTGTCACCTCTCCTTAATTCGGGGTGCAGCTGAAGGAGGCCATCAAACACCCCCTGCCCTGGCACCCCGTGCCCCAGGACCACTCAAGCACTGTCAGGACGGGCAGGTGGCACTGTCACCCTGCAGGACAGGGGAGGGGACAGAGCCACCACATCCTCCCCCGGCAGCGTTTGGGTGGCAGGGGCTGCTGCGTTCCTATTCCACGCACGCAGCCTGTAATTTTGGTCTATTGAAGTCATAATTCACTACTGTGAAAATAAACATTTGTGCTAGCTCGCTTTATTCGGCGGGGTTCGGCTGAATGTTAATAATTCCCCGCCGGCGGCTTTGCACGTGGCCTGGGATGCTGGGACAAAGCCCGGGCACCCCTGGCCGTGGCCGTGGCCACCTCCTGGCAGGCTTTGGGCGAGCTCTCACCCTCCTTTTTACCCTGTCCCTGGGATCCCCTGCATCCCGAAGGAGGTGGGGAAAGCAGAGCCACTTTGTACTAAGCCAGGGATAATGAAGATAAATGTAATTTTTAGACAATATTCGGAGTCCAGGACCTACTCAGACCCATCCCTGTACTGGGTTTGTGCCTTTTTGTAGGTGCTCCCACCACATCAAGGGCACCCCAACACCCACCCTGTGCCATCACCATGCAGGAGGACGCCTGGGCCTCCCCCCACCCCCGGCTGTCCTCAGGGCTGTCCCCAGATCTGTCCCTGCTGGGTGCAGGGGCTGGTGCTTCCCCTCGGCATTTGCATCTTCCCAGCCTTTATCTTTCTCCTGGTCTCTGTATTGCTGCAATTACAGACACTTTAAAACACAATGATCTGGCTGTTAGCGTGATGGATGACAGAACCTTTCTGTCTGGTTTAAATCATTGCTGAGAGTGAGCAAACTTCCCCGGGTTAACCCTTTCCTGCCCCGAACCCGCTTCCCGCCCAGCACTGCTGTGAGCTCCATGGCCACCCATCCACCGCACGCCTGGGTCCCATGGATGGGATAAAGGGGGGTCTGGAATTCCTACAGAAAACATTCCCCCATCCCTCATCCCTCATCTCCCTGGGGTCGGTGCTGCTGGGGCTCCCTGGGTGCCTGGGGCAGGCGATGGGAGCAGCCCCGCCCCGGCAGAGCCGCTGGCCCCGCTCGGCTGCGGTGGGAAATTAACGGCTGGGGCGGAGATAAGCGGCTGCCAGAGCCCGATAGCCGGCTGGATCCATCCC